ACACTGCACATTTTGCATGTCTCCTTTCTCTGACACACCAGTTGCAGGTCTTGGAGTCTCTACTAATGAGCTGATGACCTGGATCTGGTGTGTTTGATTAAGGAGACATGCAAAATGTGCAGTGTTGGGGTGCCTCCAGGACCAGGTTTGGGAACCACTGCCTTATACCTCTGAGAACCGAGGTTACATGCGTAACCAGAGACGTTCCCTTTCGATTGCAGCTGATGCTATGGGGAACAAACAGTGACTACAACACCACATTTCTAGTGTAGCATCTGAACCAGCCTCTGTGGGCAGAATATGCCAAAAATAGACATATATTATGGTAGTATACCACAGCATGAACCGGAGAGGTTGCACAAGCACTTCACAACAGGCGTTGGGAAGATGAGATTACAATGGTCAGTGCGGACTAATTCTCTTGCTCAGAAAAATGTGTCTTCATTCCCCTGGTAAGTCCACAATTCAAATGGCCAGGCGCGTGCACTGCTCATAACTAATATTGATTGTTCCAAAGGAGGACGCGCCATGCTGGAGCCATCATCGGCCGTGATCGGACCCCCTTGATGATTTACGTACTCAACTACCTCTGTCTTGTCTAACTGAATGACAACATAGCAGTTTTTCCAATCTATGTGAAAAACTCTCAGAGGCAAACACACCGTGAGCAGTTGTAAGTGATTGATTAGCCATGCTTGTCTGGCACCCATCCTAGAGCCAAAAACTTGACAGCCGTTGAATTGAGCATGCGAGCCCAAGCTAGATGCATCTGTGATGACCTCCTGGAAACCTGCCACATCACAGCCTTTCTGATAAAAGCAGCAATACAGCGCATGTCTGAACAGCTGGAGAGCTGACTGCATGTGCCCAACTGTTAAATATGTACACATTGTCACTCTTGCTCGACTCTTGCCTTTTGCAACAACCTCTATTACGCCTTTCACAAGAAGGTTGTGGGTTTCTGTATGTAACAGACGGGTCCTACATGTGAACCGTGGAGGATCAACCATCACTGAAGTGAGGCGGCCACCTTGGAAATTGGTTTACATGGGAAGATCTCCCATGTGCTGACATGACTGGACTGTTAAGCACATTGGATGAACACACTTTATTGAACACAGAGCATTTAACTCGTTCTCCCCACTTCAGCAAGTTGTAATGGCGGAGAGGGAAGGCATTGCATTGAAAAAGCTCTAGACATGATCTTTTGGGGCTGGTCCCAGTTCAATGGCTGTGAGTTGCTCTTCACAGTAGGGTGGCATCAGTAGTTCTTCTGCTGTTCTGCATGGCTGATGGATTGGACAGTAACCTATGTAGCATATAAAGCCAAGTCTGTCACACTATGCAGCTCTCTAAAGAACTTGGTTTCAGCATCGTTTTTGTCCATGTGCTTAAGAAACTTTGGCTGAAACTTTTGGAGAACAAGTGTGAAACAACAAGCCAGCTTGGAAGGAACAAGCTCGGACATTGCAAGAGAGATGGCCACATAACCTTCTCCTGATCCATCAAAAACCTTTTCATGCACTCCAATTCAAGGTCGGAGATTGTCTCGAGTGTACTGCACAGGCGTTAACACTAGATCTGGAGAGTGGGGTGTATGTAGGACCTCTGCCAGCACAAGCTCCACACTGTAATCTTCACGTTCAGGTCCTTGGCTCCACTCACTCAGAGCAGGGAAGTGTGGGAAGCAGGGATGTCCATCAGAATGAGGGCAGCATCTAAAAAATGAAGGCAACTGGTCTCAACCAGAGCCACTTTACACAAACAGGTAACCAAAGGATTCCCAGACATGTAACAGAACGAAGGAATCACAGTCCTAAAGGAGAAACATTCTAAGGTAACTATAGCAACTAAGTAGGTAACCTTTTCTACTTCAATAAAGCCTAATTATTAACAAACATATTTTAAAAATGTCATAATTATAAAATAAAGGATAAAATGCAGGCTATGCAGCAACAAATCAAATAATTGGAACACTGCAAAGACTCTACGACATAAACACACATAGTGTTGGCCATCATATTTAGCAGCTCCAGACCAAACATTGATCAGAGAATAAGTACTCACTGCCCTTTTTGGAGTCTTTTTGAATGATTTGGCATCTCAAAAAAAAAAAAATACTGCAAAGACTCTACGACATAAACACACATAGTGTTGGCCATCATATTTAGCAGCTCCAGACCAAACATTGATCAGAGAATAAGTACTCACTGCCCTTTTTGGAGTCTTTTTGAATGATTTGGCATCTAAAAAAAAAAAAAATAAATAAATAAAAAATTTGCAGCGAGATTTCTGCGGTCAAAATATACTGCTCATCCCATTAAAAAACTGGCCAGGGTTTATTTTTAATGCCACTGAAATGGGATCAATACTGAAAATGCTTCTGAATGTCATGGAACAGACTTGGCTTAGAGGCTACTCACCAGCCAATGTTTCAGTAATCCATATGAAACAATAGCGGACCTGATTGTTAAATGCCATAGCTGTGCCTGTGAGGCTAGAATAACTCAGTACATTGTCTTCACACCTGTGTCACATGATTGTAAAGCTCTCAGACATCCTCTTGGACAGGAAATGTATTACTTAAAGGGAAATCAATACCTCGACAACACAGCAGTGTCTGCTGTCTGTAAGTTTAAGTTTCTCCTATACTAAACTTTTTTTTTTTACAAGCTCAGTTCACTGCAGTACAAGGGACATGTATGTAAGTGTGTGTTTGAGTGTGTAACTTACATGAAATGGTCGAACATGCATGATATTTCTTCTTACATACAGTAGCTGAAATGTTTTTGGCTGAAATGTTTTTGGGTTCTTGTGAGATTTGGCCCTAGTTTAAGTTATATTCATGTTCTCCAAAGAATGTTAATTTTCCTTGGGTGACAGTAACCCATGCCTGTCGGTATAATTGAAATTATCTGAGAAAACCATGAACTTGGTGCACTTAGATGATATAGGTAAAAAAAAAAAAAAAAGATTTCCATTAAAGCAGGTACTCCAGCCATACCTTGTGATGTCAGAGACTTAAGGGTGGATGTTTTAGGCTTCATTTATCATATAGAATCATTGTTCTCCACAAAGTTCAACATTACCATTCACATCTGGATTATATACCATGGAATTCCTATTTATGCTATGTGTTATTAGTATACTACTGCTGTTTATGGTAAGAATAAACATTCTGATATTACTTTTCTAATGCAGTGTAAATAGCTTCTGCTGTTATTTCATCACGAGTTCAGTGAAGTAATGTTATTGCTCTCTTACAGCAAGTTTGTGTAATTTCAAGCCTGTGTTTTGGTGAAGCGGAAAAGTAAATTATTTGCGAGGGTGCCTGTGTGACTACACAGCCTCGATGCTCCACACGTCAAGAGCGAGGACATGTTTATTCACAGAGCTTGAAGTTAATAGAGTTCAGGCAGAGCCTTCTGTGTCATCTCTCACTAGGCTAGGACTTACAATTTGGTCACAATTGCAAACCTTTGAAAACACAGTGATGAAGTGTCTGATGAAAGGAGGCAGACAGAAACAGGTGAGGAGAGAAAACAAGAGAAATGTGTTAAAGCATTGAGCGGCGATCATCAAGTTGACAGCTGCGGGGAGAGTCACAGAGCAAGTGATATGTTCCCAGAATAATCAGTGAGATCAATGGTATCTCGTTTCCATCTGAGGGTATTCTAGATCAATACCTGAAAGACAGAAAAAGCCCTACACCATATGGAGTTTAGGTACATTTGTGTTTCATAGATGTAATTTGTTATTTTCAGTGAATACTTCACCCTAAAATGAAAACATAAAACCAGCATAAAAGTAGCCCATAAGACTGCACTGTGCTACATTCCAAGTCTTCTGAAGTTATGAATGAATAAATAAATAGAAATGTAAAAGGTCAGTCAATAAAGACCTACATGTCAGTCTGTTCCTCACTCACACAGCTATCATATGACATCTCTATACTTGAAATATAGTGCATGTGTTATGTAGACTACTTTTACGGTCTTTTGTGTCAAGAAGCTTGTCAGTCCCTGGACAACATGAACTGTCAGTGTATGGGGAAAAAAAGCCCTTTTTTTCTTCTTTTTTAATGTCTTGTTTTTGTTTGTCTTGAAAAACAGCTATTGTGTTTGATACAAGTGCGAGTAAATAAAGAGTTTTAATTTGTGAATTATTACTCTAATCCCCTCCAAATCGAACATGCTTGTATTTTTTTTTTCACAGTCTCTGTAAAAATGAAAGGGCATATTAAGTCCTGTTTTTCAGTCAACTTGTCTTCTGAGAAATTGAATCCTGTCCAGAACATAATGCCTCTGATTGGGGTATATTTTTTTTCCTAATTTATTTGAACCTTCATTGAATGCCACAACATTCTGTGTAATGTAACAATACGGCTAAGTAAAAATAAAATTAAATCAGTAGGAGAGAGTTTTTTTTTAATTTCCCAGAAATTACTCAAAATTGTCTTTAGAGTAGTATGATGCTCACCATAACGCCTACAAGCAGGGTTCTCAAATCTACTTGAGAAAATTATATTTAGCATTTTTTTAATTTAATACTATGCAACTTCTTTTATTTAAAATCCAATGTACTATCTATACCAATAAATTACTATCAATATAGTATCGAAATAGCCTGACTGAAAAGTTGTTCTAAATGTTCCAAAGAGCATCTTGTGCTTCAAAACTGTTAGTGCTAAAAAAGAATAGTGCTAAAAAAAATGGGGTTTTTTTTATTTTTTTATCCACAACTTTTTTTTTTCCAAGATCCTAGAAAAGAAGTGTTTGTGATGCTTGCACAGAGAGCACATGATATTTTGTACACTCTCACGATTGTAATAACATAGAATCAGTATTAAATCACAACTGTAGCTTAAATGTCATTTACAAAGCAAATCCTGTCCGAATGCAGAAACAAAAATAGTCATTCCACTCACTACTTCCATTAACATGATCATGTGATCCCTTGCGCTGTAATGTAGAAGCAGTAACAGAGGCCAGTTCACTCACCATATTGACGGTGCTTCTGTGCCACTGATCTCTAGAAAGTCATATCTATCTTCTAGCTGGAAGTCTGTGAAGACTAGGGCAATAGTGTCTCCCGGCTCGGCCAGAATACTCCACGTGCAGTCAGCATTGTTGTCATACTCTGAAGGAAAGTGGGGACTTGATATTGTCCCTGTTGTTCCTCTTAACGTCCCACCACATGATCCTTCAGCTGGACAAAATAGCACAAAAGTTACAAATTATCAGGCAAAGGTAAAATTAGTCAAATTGCACCATATAGAAATCAACATTAATTTTCAGCGCTCCTATGCCATGACTTTTGTAGTCCTTCATAAATAATGGATTAAAAATCCAGGGCTTGAATATAAGGACTGCCTCCCTATGCAGCGTTTATGACACAGGATCAGTACTGCTGTTCTCTAAAAGCAGAGTATATTGGCTACCATCCAAGTAGAAGAAGATGCAAAAGATAGTTGTTTATTTCCTTTATATATTTGTACTATTGTATTTATTTTTTTCTATCGCTTGTAATTTGTTTAAAGACTGCTTGTCTTTCATAATGTTTTAACTTTATGGCTGGTGGCTTTTTTTGCTGCAGTTTCAAAACTGGAATCAAGAATGGCGAAATTATGGCAGCATCTAACATTTTGGTATTGTAATTCTGTGGTTCTGATTTGCCGTGGGCATGAAGCATCAGGTATTCACAGCAATGATGTATAGCCTTAATGTAGTCCTGCTTTTATACAGCAGTTCAAAGGATATGTACGTAAATACGTAAAGTCAATGAATGTCACAGATACCCTCTTATGTGTGTAACTACTTTCCTATGCCAAGTATCCAGGATCTGACATTGCTAATTCAAAAATATGTGTCTTTGTTACTAATTTGAAAATATCATGTTAGAACTAGCCATGGCGGCTTGGGCAGTTTTGGAGAAGTTATTGAAGTGACAAGGTTGAAGCACAATTGTGTGACACTGTTGCCTTACAGTAGCTTAAAACAAACAAAAGGTTGAGTAACTTACATTTTCAGATCCCATATTGCCAGATCATTTTCTGTTTTGTTCCGACTGACTTATGATTTGATCACTGTATCTGAAATCGGCCCCATACCCTTAAATAGTGCATTATTTACAGGGTCAGAAGATGACATCCACAGACTTTGCAGTGCTCTCAGTGTCCTAACTGGCTCACTCGTTCTCGTTCCCTATTTTATAACTGGACTAAAGTAGGGGATAATAAATAAGATTATGGGGGTGGTCATTGTTGGATACAGCTTTAGTATTTTGTTTGTTTGTTTGTTTGTTTGGCTGTTCACATTATTATTATCATTATCATTATTTTATTGTATTTTATTTTTGTTTAAATATGGCCGATATCAGATTCAAGTTTGAACTGATCGCAGTCCTGAACTGAACCGAAACACTGAGGCCACTGAAATCAGTGTTTACGCATGTGTCACGGACTGTTAATTCATGCGCATGCGATAAGGAGGACGAGGCGAGGATGATGAGAAAGAGAGAAAAGCTTTTCTAGTGTCCCCTCAAGTTTTGCTTGTCTAAAGCTGTCACCATAATTCTTACACCTCACTCTCTTCCTCCACTCATTACAGATGTCTTTCATATTGACAGAGTGATCAAAGAACTAACGGTATGCAAAATCTGGAGTGAGTCCCATCTTTGCAGAATTGTGATGAATGTCTCATATGAATATGACTGTTCAGATTGAGTTTGCATTGCAAAACATCCAACTTGTAACTGATTTAATACCACATACGGAAGTGTCCCAAATCAGAATCACAAAATCAGTATGTGAAACAGTATGCACTATTCCACAGTAAACATTTTAAACAGCAGTATGCTACATTGTTGTCATATTTGCTTGTGAGGTTTTAAAGTGTATTTATTTAAAAAAAAAAAATTAAGACACTTGGATAGGCTCCAGCACCCTGTAACCCTAGAATAAGTTATTTGGAACATGGATGGTTGATTCTTTAAGTTGTGTACCAATGTAAAAAAAAAAAGATAAAAAATAATAAAATCATGGTTAATATTACTTCAGGTTAATTTGTTAAATTGGAAATGGAAGGCCAGTTTGAGCACAATGCATTGGAGCATACAGTACACTCTCAGAAAAAAAAAAGTATAGAAGTTGTCACTGGAGTGGTACCTTTTCAAAAGGTGCAACTTACCCATAAAGGTTGCATATTGGTACATTAAAGGTACATACTAGTACCTAAATGGTAGATATTTGTACCATTTGAAAATGTGCCGCCCCAGTGACAACTTGAGTTAAAGATACATATTTCAAAGCACATATTAGTACCTAAAGAGTACATATTAGCGCCTTTTAAAGGGGTAAAGCGACAGTTCTGTACCTTTTTCTGAGAGTGCTGAGACCATACAGTAGTCATGTGACTGTGGAAACCCTGCTATTTAACCCATCTGTCCATGTAAGCATAAAGCATCTTACCTCTACAAAATGGTGCTGGGAAATCCCATGATGCACCACTTCCTGGGCTCACTATGCACGTGAGCACTGCATGCCCCTCCAAAACGTATCCCATCACACAACTGTAGCGGATCTTGTCTCCGACGTTGTACCTGGTCCCATGGATAATCCCTCTCGGTATCAACCCTGGATTTCCACAGGTGTGACTTGGCAGAACTGGAACAGAAGACAGGAAAACAGGTCAGAAGTAAGTTTCTGCGTCACGCTGTGCCTTTCACTCTTTTCTGTTTGTTCTTTTCATCATCATACACAGACTGAGCCAAGCTCTTGAGATGCCTGTCTCAGTGCGAGTCTTCGCTATGAAGCATGCACATCTGAAGCTGGCCCAGCACTAGTGCATGGGACTGCGGTGAAACCCCCACACGTAAGTTGTGCGTTTCTGTGATCATGATGCTGTTTGAAGGTAAGTATTTCACGTTGACAATACAGTCACAACATGAATGTGCTCTGTTCATCTGTGTCAACTGTTCAAACAGAATCTATGCAAAACATTTTAAGAGTGAAAAAAAATAAAAAAATAAAAAATCGAGTCGATAGAGGGTCCGCGGCCAACGACATTTTTCTCCGAGTTGCTTTTTGAAGTTTTTGGCGATCAAATACTATACTATGAATAACAACCAAAGAAGGGAGCAACAAGTGGTTTACATCGGCGGAGGAGGGCAAGCGGTATTTGGATTCTCAGTGCGGCGGTTCTCAATAATCTGGTGTGCCTGACATTTGTGCCAAGAAGCGGAGCAATCCTATGCTGAATGGCACCGTTGTTATAGGAACTATGTAAGTTAGGAGCTGTATTAATCTAATACAGATTTCGGTTATCTGTTTTACAATGCCCTTTCCTACTGTCTCGTAGCAGAGGTTGTTTTGCACCCGTTCAGATTTAACGACCTCTATTGCCTTTGAACTGCATTAGAAATTGTATAGTCGTTGTATGCCATATTTTTGATTGAACAAGCTTTATTCGATGGGCTGTTAAAGTACATTTTTATATATTATTTTGCGTTTGGGGGTTAAAATGTGTTATTGGGGAAATATAAGGTTTGCAGTATAAATAGGAGTGAAAAAGGAAGTAAGGTATCCAGAGAGATATGGAAGTTATTGTTTGGATGTTTAAGGGGAGGTTAGGGGTATCTGACTATTTTTTACGGATCGATTTTTTTATTTTTATTTTTTTCTCTTTTGTATTTATCTCTTTTCTGCATCACATGGATCAGGGTCTTACAATAGTTATTCATGATTCAAATGGCTGGTAATACAACAATATCAAATATAAATATTAGTTTTATCTCTTGGAATGTAAAAGGTTTAAATAACATCGTAAAGACCAAAAAAGTTCTTTCACATTTACAGTCCCTTAAAGGAGATATAATCTTTTTACAAGAAACCCATCTTCGCACTTCAGATGTTTCTCGCATTAAGAGTGCATGGATAAGTCACTGTTTTCACTCCAAATTTGGTGTGAAGGCAAGAGGGGCAGCGATTCTTGTGCATAAGAACATTGCTTTTGAACCGGAATCAGTGGTTTCAGATCTGAATGGTCATTATGTGATTGTGTCTGGAATTTTACAAACAATTCCAGTTGTTTTAGCATGTACATGTATATATGGCTCCAATTGGGACAATGATAAATTTTTTGCTCATTTTTTTTCTGTACTCCCTAATCTTGA